CGTGGACTGCATCCGAAGAAGTGGGCTGTAGTCCACGAAAGCTTATGCTCTAATAAATTTGTTAGTCTCTAAGGTGCCACAAGTCCTCCTGTTCTTCTTTTTGCGGATACAGACTAACACGGCTGCTACTCTGAAACCTAATCCAATGCAGTGATTTATTCCCAAGTCTGCAGACAGATCTCTCCAGTACCTCTTTTGCTACTAGTACCTTTGCAAAGCAGCAGGAGAGTGAAATGTGTAAGGTTCTTATTAGCTTCACAGCTGCTATTTGGAACTAGATCCGTAGGAAAAAAACCAATGTGTGGTTTGCTGATAGTTCCAAATAACTTTAAAAAAAAAATCTTTTAGAGTCAGATGAAAGGTGTCATTTCAACTGAGCTTTATGTTTTTAGGGTTTTTTTGTAATAAAACTGGAGACAATTTCTAAATAAGTCATTTTGAATCAAAAAATAAAGTTTAATTTTTAAAATGTCAAAGAAACATTTTGATTTTCTCAATTCATCTCTTTTTTAAACTAGAACAATTCACAAGATGGTTTGGTTGATGTGAATCTGCATTTTTCCCCACTTAAAGTTTTGTACAGCAGTGAAATTGTCAAAAAAAACTCATGTTAATTTCATAAGGATTGCCACAGCTTCAGAAAGCTAGATGCTGCAGAGACCAACTCCTGAACTCCCATGAAGCAGTGGCATGGAGGCATGCGGTGGGGCTTAGTTGGAGAACACGGTGTTCAAAGTACTCTCTGCCAAACTTTCTGCACCCCTCATTCCCTGTGTTTAGAGCACAGACTGCTCCATGAGTGTGTCAGCTTGCACCCTACCCTCTGTTCACATCACCCCTTGCACCTCCTTCTTGGATACCTCAGTCTTTTGCATCATCTATGCCAGTGGTCCTCAAACTTTTTGGGCTCAGGGCCCCATTTATAAATATTCATGGCCTGTTGCGATCCATTAAATAGTCTGGGGATAGAGGCCCTGGGGCAGAGCCATAACTAGGCATTTTAGCACCCGGGGCAAGCAAGCATATTTGCATCCCCTACTAGATGTGACGTGGGGTGGGGGGGGGGGGTACACAGGTTCATGTGTCCACCCTGCCCCCAGGTTTTTTGGTTGCGCCCTCCCCCCACAACCCAGTCATGCTGGGTGGCCTGCTAAGGTGAGTCAGAAGCTGGAGGTTGTGATGCAGGCAAACCAGCTTAGATTAAAAGAAATAGGCAGTTCACCTGTCTGTGAACCTCAGAGGAATGTCAAGAGGCATTGCAACATGCGAAGCACCCACTTGTAAAATCTGATCTGTTAATTTTGGCAATATCCTGTTGCTTATTTGCTATTAAGCATACACTACAGTGAATAACCCTAGATCAGAAGAAATACTAATGTTATTGTATCCACTTGTTAGAATAGAACAAAGGAAGATATTGCCACACTGTGTTTACATGGCACATGCCCCATTAATTACATTTATGCTAATTTTACCTGTGATTGCGGTCAGTATACTTAATTAATCCTGGAACAATAATGTGTGTTAGTGATTAGTTGTGGCTTCACTTGATGTGTAAAACTGCATGAAAGCTAAATGGTTTTGGCTATCACATTGTTCCCATTTATCTATACTCACGTGTCTAAAGTTGCTCAGCAAGGAGGAACATTGACTTCAAAGCATGGGCGTTGTGTGCTCAAAGGGAAATCTAGGGACACATGCTGTGCTAAAAACACTTGGCAGGCTATTTTCAACTATAAATACTGGATGCTGGGAATGATCCTGCCATCTCTTATCTTTTTGGATGTGTCTGGTAGCTTTCTAGATACAAGACAGAGTTCCCCAAAACCACTTTGGAAAAACCCTGAGAGAATTTGTGAAGAGACAATGAGACTGGCAGATTGCTACATCACTGCTTTTATTTTGAACCTACAAACCCTAAATTCACTCGTAATGTATTTTATTTGCTTTAAACTTGCTATAACTCTCCTTGCTTTTTCCTAATTAATAAATCTTTAGTAAACTGAAGGATTGGCTACAGCATTGCCTTTGGTGAGATCTGGAGCATATTTTGACCTGGGGTAAGTGACTGGCCTTTTGAGTCTGGAAACCTAATGGGTGGTGAATTTTGGTTTTTAATAACCTTTCATCATAAAGTCCAATCTGTGTGAATGGTAAAGTAAGGGCAGGGAGAGCCTAAAGGGGACTGGTCTGTGGCTCCATGGTAAAACTAATATAATGATCCAGAAGGACTATACCACCAATTTGGGGTGTCTGCCCTGATTTCTGACAGTCTGACCTGAGTTTGGCACTCTTAGCAGTGAGGCACTCCAGACACCGAAACAGGGGATGCTCCCTCCCCAAGCCCTGGCCCCACCGCACACCCTGGACGACTGCCCCACTCTGGTTGCCGCCCTGCCCTGAAGTGGTTTCAGTCGGATCCTGCTCCCCAGGGGGGATTGAGTCCTGCCTAACACTCATCCCACAGTGGCGGTTCCTGCAGCTCCTGTGCTGTGCGGCTGGCTGGACTTGACTCTCTGCTCTGGGCATTGCCACCTCAAGGGTTGCAGCACTGCTCAGGTTTGACCCTACCACTCTCAACTGCCCCAAATTTGTGACAGTGGAGTTGTGACCTGGCTCATGGGGTTGTTTTCCTTGCCCCCTCTCCATCTATTATTGTAGAAAATATAATCAGAAATGTTCTGATGTTTACAAGATAGGAGAGAAGAAAATGGGCCCTCCAAACTCACGATAAATCGATCCCAGAAGATAGATTGCTTGCTGCTGAACCAGCGGCTAAGTATAGACGTACCCTTTGGTGAACCCTAACAGATCAAGGTGAGTCTGTAGAGCCACAATAGTCAGTGAAACACTCATGCTTCACTATCACGCTTCTGTGCTTTAAAGTGATTGTTTTATAAAGAAGGCAATCTCAGTTGGCTTGTCTTGACACAAAGAAGTGCAGTTATGACAAAAATGCTTTATTACTGCCGAAGTATATGAATAGTCTCACCTCTCATATTTCTTTGCCTTCTGAAGTAATGCTGGAGTTGGGAGTTAAAGGGGTTCTCATTAGATTGTTTTTTATATAATTATTAACCTTCTCTAAAGTTCAATAAGGAAACTCCCTGTAACTACTACATTACTTCTAACTTACCTGAAGAGAACAGATTTACTACTAGCTTTGCTCAAAATTCCATCTTTACACTAGGAATAAGTGTTGAAATTTTGTGTAGATCCATATTTTTCATACAAAACAAAATAATTTAAACCTCTTTTTAATAATTAGAGATCCCTATGAAACCTTCACCATATTACCCTCCGTAATGCATTAGTAAAATTGGAAAGTACTACCTTTATTGCAGCTTCTCTCAAGGCCTCCAATCGCTGTCTACTACTTTCTTTCATGTTTACAACATCTTTGTAATCACCTTGAAGGGCTCTTTGGAGTCCATGGATTGCTTGAAAGACTGAGTTTTCACTTTCATTCAGCTCCTTTTGGAAAATTTCAAATGTGTGCACCTGAAAAAGTTTCTCTTCATCTGACAGCCCCAAGTCCTTCTCCACTGATCTTATTGCATTTTTTAGTTTGTTGAGAACCACGTTCTTTTGGCGAAGGAGCCCAGATAGCTTTCTGCAATTTTCTAAGACCCATTGTTTTCTCTGTGTGACAGCAGCACCTTTCCCACGATGCAGCTTTATTGCATGCTTTACTACATCTTCGTGCTCTGCAGTGTTCAATAACTGGCAGCAAAGTAGTGAAATCAATATCCATAGGGAATTAAATTCAATTGCCTTCATTGTATTACTGTATACAACCAGGAACAGTCCAAAGCCTTCTATAATATGCTCTTTGCATTTCGAATACACATGTTGTGCTGAAAGATAATACACATTAGCTGTCAAACATGGTTCAGTATTGGGCCACTGGATCAAATCCAATTTTAAAAAAAGTTTCAAATGAAGTCTAATAAAAAGTGTGTGTTCTCCCTTGATCAATAGATACTAAACCAGAAAGATTTGGTGGTTTTGACTAACATTTTTTGTTTTCCTGGACTACCTGTTTTCCAAAACATAATAACTTGTTTTAAATCCATCAAGCTGTAAAGCTTAGCAGTACCACACTGGTCACTCATGCTTCTTTTGAAGGATATGTGCACGTGTTTTTTTAAACTTATTTGTTAAGCTGTTAAGATAAGGGTTATATTTAGTTACTAGTATGCAAGTTTGCTCCGTTTACAATATCCATGAACCATCTGTGCTTTTCAAGCCTACATTTAAACAAAAATATATGTCATTGTCAAATTATGGATAGCACCTCAAGGTATAATAGCTGCTTTATAGAAGATACAGAAAAACAAACTCTTTGCCTCAAAGAGAATTTTGCAAGCATGATTTATATTGTAATCTCATTTCACATAGGACAGATAGCAATGAGATTTTCCTGATTTTTTGTCATTTCCAGCTTGAATCGGACTTGGACTAATTTCCCTAAGCTATCCCAGTATCTCAACATCATTTTTCAGTGGTTTTCTGAGGAAAATCTCCTAGTGCGGATAATAAATAATTCAAAATATTTAAAAAGATAGTGTTAAAGACACATAATTTTGACTAACTATGGTAGGATTTCAAATAATGGACAAAGGATGTGCATAGTCTCCATTAGTTCAGAAATTATGTGCAAACATGGTACGCAATAAAGGACTTAGATTTCCTTTAAAAAATAAATAAAATTATGTATTTGCCATTCTAGAATTGCAGAATTTAATTTAAATTTGAGCAAATTTTCAGTAGAACAGGTAAATATTTGCCTTAATATTTAGCTGCAATTTTGAACTTTGGAGCAATAACCGTAGTCAAGAAAGATTACAAGCACAAATAAGTTGATCAGTCCAACTGAGACACTAGCTCTCTACTCATGATATACTGCCAGTTACAATGAGCAGAGTTGATGATGTTAGGTAGGGTTACCATACGTCCTCTTTTTCCCGGACATGTCCGGCTTTTCGGCAGTCAAACCCCCGTCCGGGGGGGAATTGCCAAAAAGCCGAACATGTCCGGGAAAATGGCGGCTCTGTTTAAGAGCCGGGCTGCCTGAACGCTACCGGCTTCGGGCAGCCCGGCTCTTAAACAGAGCGGGGGCGGCTGGAGCCTCTAGCCCCCTGGGC